GTCAGTGCTTACCGCAGCGCCCTTCCTGCGAGAGCGGCGCCGGTCGCAGCCTCTCGTCAGTCGTCTGGGCCGCGCCCGAGCCGCCGTGGCACCGCAGTCACAGGGCCCCGCCCCCCGGCGTCCGCGAGGACCTCGGCCGGCCAACGAGGCACGGGCGGCCTCTGCCACGTCAAGGGGGGCGCGAGGGGGCGGGGCTACCGGAGGAAAGGGCGGGGCTGTGAGAGGAAGGGGCGGGCGGAAGGAGGGGCGCTGGGGTCGAAGGGGCCCGGGCGCTCCGGCTTGGGCGTTTGCTAAGGTTAAAATGCTCTCCTTGAGCTCCGCGGTAAAAAAAAAAAAGGGCCAAAGACCATTCAGTTCAAACGGTTGTCACAGCCGGGCGCCGGTGGCTCACGCCTGTCATCCTAGCTACGCAGGAGGCTGAGATCTGAGGATCGAGGTTCAAAGCCAGCCCGGGCAGGAAAGTCCGTGAGACTCTTATCTCCAATTAACCGGAAGTAGCACTGTGGCTCAAGTGGTAGAGCGCTCTCCTTGAGCTGAAGAGCTGAGGGACAGCGCCCAGGCCCAGAGTTCAAGTCCCACCACCGACCAAAAAAGAAAAAAAACAGTTGTCACGTTCCTCAGCCATAATGAAATAGCTGTCACTGCGAAACGACTAGAAAGAACCACCTGCCAGGGAGCTGGGAAGTGCGGTGGCCCTGGTGGAGGGTCATTCCCCTCCCTGCACGTCGTAGAAATGGTGGCCAACTGTTGTAGACTCAAGACCAAGAGAAAAAGAGGCATCCTCCAGAACTCCGTCTTTCCTGGGGACCTGGTTGATCTCTGAAACCTTGTGGTTCTTTCGCCTAGTATGACTAGTACTGAACACCTACTGTGTTGCAGACAATTGACATGGTGATGACAGAATGGCCTGGTGGAATTCACACTCTATTTAGGTAACTCTTGCCAGTCTATCTCTTTTCCTTCTACATCTTCTCTGCCACCTCATCTTCTCCTCCCTACAATAAACCATCTTTCGCTGGTTGTTGTTAATGTGTTTGCTGCAGTCTGGTGGCTGATCTTAGGCAACCACATCCTTCAGCCAGGGATCAAGGCTAATTCCAAACAAAACAGCATCTAAAAGTCCTTTGAAGCTTAGGCTTATCAGCATTTTATGGAGTAGCCCACAGCCTACATTCATGAGGCCATAATACCATACCTAAATTTTACTTTCTATAATATATGTGCTACTATTATTTTAGAAGGTGGAAAAGAATGTTTGCTTGTCATATTTGAAATAGAATCCTAAAGAGGAAATCGAAATCAAGGTAAAAATCAATGTAGACCTTCAAATAAAGGAGGCCCAGGAAAGAGTAACCTTAACAGAACACATAAAAGCAGTATGGACAATGTCATAAAGTTGGAATGAGAACATTCACAGAAACTAAAGATCCAAGAATGAGAACAAATAGACAAGTGTTAAGGTGCTGGGAAGGTGGATCAGTGGTAGAGCGCTTGCCTTGCATGCATGAGGCCCTGGGTTTGATTCCTCACACCACATAAGCAGAAAAAGCAGAAAAAGTGGGGCTGAGGCTCAAGTGGTAGAGCACTGGTCTACAGCTGAAGAGCTGGGGGACACTGCCCAGGCCAAGAGTTCACACTCCACAACCGACAGAAGAAAAAAAAAATAGACAAGTATTAAGTCTGTAGGGTGGTAGGGTTATCTATGCCAAAATATCATATAAACAAAATTTTTCTCACACTTTTAGAGGCTAAGAAGTCCAAGATCAAGACAGGTGCTAATGGTTCACTCCTGTAACCCTAGCTACTAAGGAAACTGAAACCAGTTCAAAGTTCAAAGCCAGCCAGAGCTGAAAAGTCTGAAAGCCTCCATCTCCAACCAGTAAATTTTAATTTTTCAGATTGTTTTATTCCAGTTCAGTTTGTCTTTCTTGGAAGCCTCATAAACAATGAAGAGAATTTTTTATTTTGTTAACTCATTATATTT